CAGAGACTAGGCTCTTAACCGCTATGTTTTTAAGCAGCCACACACAGGAAAATCTGGAAGGATGCACACCAAACTGACCACAGTGAACACATCCCAGAACTGGAATTGGAGGGGGCTGTGTTTTTTGCATTTCTTTATACGCCTCTGTACTGTTTGAATTTTTAAAAACAGCTATGTGCTAATTTTGTAACTGAAAAGCAAAAACAACAAAGCCTCCACCAACACAAACACTTGGCCAAGAGACACAATCATTTGAAAGAGTATCTGCTGCACAGCTCGCCCTGCCCTTCCACTCCTCTCCCTGTCTCAAGAGGTGCAGGAGTGGAACAGGTGACACAGGAAAAAAGGTCCTATGGCCAAGGAAGTTTGGGAAACATTGGGTTATAAAAGATGAACTGGCTTCTCCTCTGGGGAGACTTGCAGAGCTTCAACAAGCTGATGCTGGTTGTCAAGCTGTGATAGGATGGAGTTTGTAACTGATGCCATGTTGATTTGGTCCCAGAGCCCTTTTCTTTCCAGGGGCCTTATGGAGCTAGTGTTCTTTAGCGCAAGCATTGGAAATGCAGCTCCAGATACCTTAAGCTTTTTCTTTTTTTTTGGCAGCTGGCCGGTCCGGGGATCCAAACTCTTGAGCTCCAGATACTTTAAGATCACCACTGAGGTTGGTTGTTAGAGGCCACGTTCCTGGATGGTATCTTGGTCCTGTCAGCCTCCACCCCAACCGACTCCCCTTAGAAACACTTTTACTGAATTGAGCTTGGCCTGGAAGCCTTCCACTTGTAGGTGTGTGTGTGATTTATGGGATCCAGACTGTGTTGTACGTGTAGCCCCTGGCCTTGCCTCTGAACATACCTGCACACATACATTTTCCTGTGATGATAGGTACAATGTTTTGTATAGCGAGGATGTGTGTGTGTGTGTGTGGCCCTCTTCTAAGGCTAAGGTAGGCCCACGGCCCAACTCAGAGTCCTGCCTGCCTGAGTTCTCACACCCACTATGTACAGGAAACAAACTTATCTGCCAAGCCACACCACAAGTGTGAGGGGATGGGTGGTTCACTGGCCTGCCGAGGTGCTGAGTGGGTGTAATTCTGAGTGTGAACAGCCTTCCCTCAGGGTAACACTTGCAGGAGGAGGGAGTGCCTAATCTCTCTTAAGCACCTACTATGTGTCAGGTACCACCTAGGGCACATCACAGTCATTATTTTCTCTTTGATTCCCCACAAGCCCTCTGTAAGGGAGGAATTTGTTATTGCCTCTTCACAGGTAAGTACACTGAAGTTCGGAGAGGTGAAGCCATTCGCTCAAGGAAATGGCAGAACTGGAATCGTACCCAGGTCTCCCTGACCCTGAAATGCATGTTCTTCACACTAGACCACACCGTTGGCTCTCTTGCTTTTGGCCTTGCTCTGAGGTCTCTGCCCTGATAGTACCAAAGGAACAGAACCCAGGGATAGTGACCTTGGCTTCACGTCCTAGGCATTCTCCAAAATGGGCTTTTGTCCTTCTCAGAACTGCCTTGATCCCCCTGAGGGAGGCCTTTTCCCCTCCTTTGAACCCTTAGCCTGTTCTCTGCCCCTGTCCATTTAGCCCTTTCTCCCTTTGAGAAGAGCTTCTGTCCCTGAGCCCCCAGGGCGAGAGACTCTGATTCATCTATCAGCACAAGGCTGGGTGGAGGGGATTGCTAATGCCTGTCCAGGGGTGGGCAAGCCCCCCTGGAGCACAGGGAGAGCCAGCGTGTTCCCCAGCCCCCACAAGAGGCTACAGGCCTTGGAGCCAGAGCCAGGAGAAAGGCTGGGACATGCTGACTAGGTGGAAAGTGTGTGTCATGCAAAACTCCAATGAGGCTGGGAAACCTGGGAAGTCTGGCTGAGTTGGGGCTCCCCCTAAAAACTGAAGGTTCAGAGTTAGAAAGTGAGGGGGTGGGCAGGTATCTGACTATGGCTTCCTGGGCCTCCACCTCCCTGGGGTTCGAAGCAGGAATCAGCAGGACCAAGTGGCCCAACACATGCAGCAGGGGCTGACGCATGGGTGGGGAGCCAGGGGAGAGGGGAAGACATCCTGCTGCGACACATGGCAGGGACAGGAATGGCAACTGTCCAGATGGAAGTTCAGAAGTTCCTCGCCCAGGGCCAATTGCATCCCTGTCCCGGATAAAAATAGCCCTTTTTCCCTTCTCATGTCATTCTTCTTTTGCCCCCAACTTCCCAGAGGCAGAGCAGATATATCCGCCCTGGAGACTCCATCCCAGATGACAAATATCCCTCATGTATTCATCACTCCCATTGGGAGACTCTGCCCTCTCTCAAGCAATGCTAGTCACTGAGGCTAAAATCACTTCTCACGTGTCCATCTGCAAGCTCTGGGTGACTCTTCTCTCTCTTTCAGAAGATTCTTGTCCTTGCCCAGGAACCAGAATGATCCCCCTGACTCAAGCCTGTCCATCATTCTGCTCCATTGAGTGGGGAGGGTGTCACAGCCTAGGCCATCGCTGTCTCCCAGGACCCAACTCTGCCACTGCCTTGCTGAGAGACTGTGCCTCTGGGTCAGGAGCTTCATCCTCATGGGATGAGGGACTGGATGTGGTGATTTCTGAAGGCCTTTTTGATACCTGACAGTCTGTGTGCCAGATCTCCAAGAAATATGCTCCCATGAGGTGGGGGCTGATGGCAGACAGCGTGGCAGAGACGAGAGCCATCAACATTGCAGGACAGATGTGATCCAGCTGCACTGCATGCCTCCCACCTGACCTCCAGCAGGACAGGTGTCCCAGCCTCTGTGTCCCAGCCTGAAGGCTGCTGCTTGCCCCAGGAGCCTGACCACTCCCTCCCCTCATAGCTGCAGCCCTCTACTGTCAGCCCCCACTCCCCCAGGTCCCTGTTCCCAGGACTCCTTACCTGCCCAGCCTGGGAGCCCTCTGGTCCCATTCACATGGTCCTCCTGGCCTAACCTGGCTGCCCAGACACAGTCTCAGCTCCCCTTGCCTTCGTAGCTACTGCCTGCCTCCCCGCGCCCACGTCCTACCCTGACTTCCTGCCTCCTCCCGAGGGCTCCGCAGCCAACCGGGCCCCAGCAGCCCAACCACAAGCCTCCAGCACCTCAAGCTTCCTGCCACCATAGCCCCCAGCCCCTCAGCTCCTGGGGGTCCTGTACATCTTCAGGTCAGGCCCTACTCACTCTGAGGGCAGTGCTTAGAGGTTTAAAGTTGAGTAGAGGCTGATAACACCAAGGTCCAGGGTTCAATACCTGTGCCAGCCAACCACCAAAAAAAAAAAAAAGGTGAGGGGAGAATGTTTGATGGACCTTCTGTCTGCTCTGATCCTCCAGGACGCACCTGGGCAAGAGGTTCAAGGGCAGCCTTTGACTCCAACGAGCAGGAGGCAAGCAGACACCCACTCAGCTTACAGTAAAAGGCAAGTAGCACCACTGTTACAGTCTGAGAGCTGAGTGACACTTTTGTTTCAGTCTAATAGCAAAGGTAGCATCACTCAGAGTCAGAGTCAGAGGACAGGACAACATCCCTGTCAAATAGATGAACAGACCACACACATTACAGTCAGATGCCATGCTAAAATGGCTGCTACAGTTGGCTGATAGACCAATACCCATGTCATCTCAGGGCACAGGATAAAAGGTTTGTCATAGTCAGAGAGTAGCCTAAGGGTAGGCTAAAAGCTCTCTTACAGACAGAATGCTGGACAACAGCCTGTTTCCAGAGGCAGTAAGAACAACCCCATGTCTTCAAGAGGGCAGAGTCACAGCCCCTGCTGTGGGTAGATGGCAGGGCAACACCCACTAATCATAGTTAACAAATAGGACACACTTCCAATTCAGGTAGAGGCAAGGTCACAGCCCCCCGGTAAGGGTGCAGGAATCTGGAGCCATCTCCTGCAAAGGTGGAAGACAGAACAAACACGCCTGCCCAGGCATCCAGTTGCAGGCTGTAGACTGTCAGGACTTTCTGTTATAGGCAGGAAGCAAGAACCTTGTCACAAGCAGCAGGCAGACCAAGAGAATCTCCATTTCCCCTTTGGCCAGGCTGAGGGTGGGACCCATCATAAGTTGAGGGCCAGGTCACTAGTGATATGAAGAACTCCAGGTGGCCTCTATCAGGCCCAAGAACTGGGCCTTTATTCCTCCAGGAGGAAAGCGTAAATGCATCATGACCTAAGTCTACACTGAGAGATCAGGCGGGGGGAGGGGAGCCCACAGAGCATTGTTGGGGTTTGTGAGGTGGAAGCTGATGGTGTGTGCACCTCAGCTGCGGAGGGAAGGGGGGGCAGGAAATGGGTGGGGGGAAGAGGAAGCCTGAGTTGGAAAGTCAAGGAGGGTAACACAGAAACAAAGGCTGAGAGATACGAAGTAAAAAACCTACAGAATGACACACAGCCCAGAGTTGGGGCTGCTGGCCTGGAGCAGGGCCCAGCTGCCCTTGCTGTGGAAGCCTGAGCACTTCATAGTCCATCTCTGGGCCTCAGCACAAGAGTAATAACACTGCTGGTGATAGTAATGGTAAGGAATAGTTCACACGTATCTCATGCTCACTGTGCACTATCTCACATATAAGCATCTCCACTTTAGAGGTAAGGAAGCAGATTCAGGGGTTAAGGAATCTCCTCAAGGTCTAATAGAAATAAATGGGGGATCTGGCTTTGAACCCAGGTCTACCAGATTCTGCATTTCTTCAGCAGCCCTATTTAACTACGTCGCCTCCTATGGGGGTGACTTAGGATTTGAAGCTCTTTCCCACTTCTTTTTTTGATGGCTGGCAGGTACCAGGAACTGAACCCTTGATCTTGGTGTTATAACACCTGCTCTAACCACCTGATTTTTCCTACTTCTGATCTTGATCAGATAGACAGATAGAGCTGCAGCTGTGGGAATCCATCCATCTCCACCCCTAACACAGGCCTTCTCTCCTGCAGTGAAAAACCTGGTCCCAGACACAGAAGACAGACAGACAGGGGCCTTGGACCTGAATAAACGACTTCAGAGACCTTGAGGGGAAACAGAGAGGGAGTTTATTGAGGACCTTGGGGTTTCTTCCCCCTCACCAGCTGAGGCAGCAGGGATGACAGGATGCTGGGGCTCTGTGCTCTTAGAACTCAGCTCTGAGAGACCTGAGTGCCCCCCCACCCCTTCTCTGGAGCACCCTCCCTTCCTTCTTCCCAGGCAGGGTGGGGAAGGAGCAGTGGTGACCTGTGAGATGCGTAAGTATCCCTCAGCAGAGGGTGAAGCGCCGGGCGCTGATGTTCATGCGTGTGAGGCCCAGGTGCCTCAGCGGCGGGGCCAGGGCCAGGCCAGCTCCCGGCTCCAGCTCCAGCTCCAGCTCGGCCTCATCCAGCAGCTCCTGGTGCAGGTGACAGGCTTGGTCCACCTTCAGCCGGTGCAGCTGGGCTCGCAGCCTCAGCAGCTGTCCTGCCAGCTGCCGGTCCTGAGCCTGCATCTCCCGCTGCGGCCGAGAGGGGGTGTGAGCTTGCTGGACCGGTCCTCAGCCCAGGGCCATGCTTCCCCTCCTGTCAACGCTCTGGGCCTTTGCAGTGGCTGTCTCCTCCCCAGCTCCCTAACACCCCAGCTTGATCCCTCCCCAGCTCTCAGATCTTGCTCCACACGGGTGGTTCTCAAACCAAGCTAAGGAGCCATTATTAAAAATACAGATACAATCTTCAAGGTGGAGCCTGGACATTTTCATATTTGCACATGTTGGGTTGAGAGCCACCTATTCAACACCTGCTTCTGCAGATTCTGCCTACAGCATGGTCAGTGCCTCCTTTTTAATTTCACCATGTCTTTGGGGGTGTATCAATTCCCAGAGTAGGGGAGGCCATGTCTTTCTCCAGCTGTAAATGGTGGTCCCCCAAGGGCAGAGCTCTGGCCTCTGAGCTACAGGAGTTCAAGATTGGATGGAATCTTTCTTCAGCAAGGCTCCCTGAATAAAACACTGGGCAAGTCCATTCTTGGCTACTTAGCCCTGGGAGATAGGAGTAGGCAGTTGCCCGAGATGGGGTCCATTCTCATCCCCTCCCCACACCCGTGGTCTTGGGTCCTAAGGAGGACTGGCCCGAAGGCCCTGTGTAAGGCTGCACACCCCACCAGACTCACCAGCTCCCGTCGGAGCCACTCAAGGGCGCAGTCCATTGAGTGGAAGCCACAGATAGCCCCAGGTCCCCCAGGCCCAGGTCTGGGTTGGGCCTTGCGCCAGGCCTGGCTCTGGACCCGGGCTGTCCACTCCAGATATGAGGGCCGCCGTGTCTGCAGCTGCAGCTTGGCTGTCAGGGCCTTCACGGAGTCCAGGCTCTCCTCCTCCTCAACCTCCTCGTCTTCCTCACCCACCGCCTGAAATTTCAGTGGCCACAGGGACATGGTGGGTTTGAGGTGAGCTCTGGGATTAGGGAAAGGCTGGCAATATTGCTCAGGGAGAGGTGGCAGTTGAGGGTAAAAAGAGTGTGTTAGGGAGTATATGATAGTGAATGTTCAAGGTAAGTTAGCAAGGCTGAGTGTGCCAGGGTAGGTGAGCAGAGGGGTGTTTGAGTCCAAGTATGCAAGGGCTGGAATTTTCTTGGACTGCTAACCCGAAGCCACGTGATGCCCATCTGGGTGGGGGCAGGAGGAGCCCTATTCCTCTGACCCCTTGAGTGAATTTTATTGTTTTTATCCAGAAGGAGACACCCAGTTTCCAGAAAGGAAGTTGCTGCAGGATGAGAAAAGCATCATCCACACCAGGTCTTGGCCCTCCTCCCAAGACCCAAGTTAAGGAAGTTGAGAGGGGGGAGGAAGCTATTTGCCCCGTCCTCACTCATGACACTAGCCCTTCTGCAAAGGAATGGCATCCAGAGCCTTGGCCTGGGAGTCAAACCTGGGTTCTAGGACTGGCTCTGTGCGACCTTGGGCAAGTCAATGACCCTCTGTGAACCTCTGTTGGGACATATCAAAACTTTCAAGCTGTACTCTAAGGAGCCTTAGGTTCCCTTGGAAATCCCTCAAGGGCTGCCTGCCTGCAGGGACGGGCGGAACTGTGGATGGGCTTCTAGGCCTCCCTCACCCTACCTCTCCCAGAGCTTCAACCAGAGCAGTTTCCTTTTTTAAACTTTGTATTGAAATATAACATACACACAGAAAAATGCACATATCATAAATACATGGCTCTGTGAATTCTCCCAAACTGAACACACCTATGTAACATCAAGCAACAGAGTATTAGCAGCACCCAGGAAGCCTCCCCTGTGCTCCTGCCCTGTCATTACTCTCCTAAGGGTAACACTACCCTCATTTCTGACAGCACAGATTAATTTTGCCTGTTTGTATTCTTTCCAGTGGTTCTCAAACTTTAGCACGCATCAGAATCACCTGGAAAGCTTGCTAAAACAGATTGCTGGGCCCCACACCTGGAGTTTCTGATTCAGTATGTATGAGATGGGTCCTAATAATTTGTATTTCTCCTAGATTCCCATCCCACCTGCTGCTGCTGGTCTGGGTTTTTACAATTTGCACTCTTTCATGTCTGATTTCTTTCACAGAGCAGTTCCAATTTTACGTCTATATTCTGGGGTGTCCATCTATGATTTCGGTGTTTTTTTGTTTCCCCTCACTCAAGTAATCTCAGGGGATGATTTCCTTCTTTTCATTTGAAAGAAGGGTTTTGTGTACTCACGTGTGCACATATATACCTGTGTGTGTGTGTGAGTATACATATTTAACACACACATACACAAGTCTGGAACCTAGTAGACCAGAAGGCCCTTTGAAGGCATGAGTTGGTCTTATTCTTCTCAGTAATCAGCAACCAGCACACTATAGGCATTAGTGTTGAAGAAATAGGGCTGGCCCCTGGCTCACTTGGGCAAGTGCGGTGCTGATAACACCAAAGCCACGGGTTCAGATCCCTACATGGGGGTGGCCGGTGGTGCTGACAGCACCAAGTCAAGGGTTAAGATCCCCTTGCCGGTCATCTTTAAAATAAATAAACAAATAAATAAATAAAAATAAAAGAAATTAAAAAATAATTAGGTGATGGATGGATGGATGAGTGCTCCAGTAAATCAGTTTAGCTTCTACTGTAATTTTACCAGCTTGAGTATGTCTCTTGCCAAACTGAAAACACTGTGAACAGAACCTTCCTCAATCATCCCTGGGTCCCAACACCAAACACAGGGCCCAGGTCACTCTACAGGCAATACATACTTGGTGAAAGGATGGAGTGATAGGGGATGGGGTTCCTGAGGGCAGGAGTCAGAGAGAAGTGGGCGGCCCAGAGGGCGCCCTCAGGCTGGGACTTCCAGCTGTGGAGGGGGAGGGGCGCCAGCTACACAGCTGCCTGCATTTAAGGTGGACCAAGGGACTTCCCCCACCCAAGCCTCACACGTACAGGAGGAAGTAGGCAGTTCCCAGTTTAACACCCACATTTTCCAGTGCTTTCATTAGGGTACAGGAGAAGAAATGATTATTTTTCTTTCTTTTTTTAAGTCAGTGGTAGTGCTAGCACCCCAGGACTTAAAAACCAAAAATATCGAGTGCCTCCTGAGACCCAGGCGTGGGGTTAAGACGGTTATGCAAGATTATTCTCCCCATTTCACAGATGGTGAAATTGAGGTTTCCTTACAAACAGTCTCTGCTCGGGGTCCTCGCTGAGAGATAATGGCAATAGAAGGGGAACATTCCTGTGAAACTGCGATCCCTTCTTCTGAGGGGCCTCCTTAACAGCTCTCCTGCCGGCTTCGCCAGCTGCCCAGCCAGTTCCTGTCCCTTTCGGAGCCAGCGCCCGTCCCGCCCGACGCTCCTGGAGTCCGTCCTTCTGCTGGGCCCCAGGGCTCCCACTGGCGGAATGGAGTTCTCGGAGCTGATCCGTACGGACCGGGCCCAAGCAGAGCTCCGGCGGGGCCCGGAGGCGGCTCCGCTGCGCGGTACGCTGTGCGTCACCGGCCACCACCTGCTGCTGTCTCCAGGGCCCCAGTCAACTCCGGACCTGTGGCTGCTGCTGTTGCGTAGTGTCGACTCCATCGAGAAGCGGTGAGACGTGGCGGGGGCGTCCCCGGAGTTGGGGAGCGCGCGGCTCGGCGGGGAGAGGGGGAAGGGCAAGCGCAGTTGGAGCTGGAGCCCTTCTGCCTGATGTCCAATGCTATGAAACTCATTTGCCCTCTCCGGGTGGGAAGCGGGCAACACTGAGCCTGGGCCCGTCCATCCCCAGGGTCGCGGGTGACTCGGGCACCATCACGCTGCGCTGTAAGGATCTGCGGGTGCTGCAGTTGGACATAGAGGGCGCGGAGGCGACGCTGGACATCGCCCGCTCCGTCGAGGTATGCCGTTGGTGCACCCGAAGCCCTTAAGCGACTCCGCATCCAGTGCTGTCCCGGGGCTCAGCGAAATGGCAGGGGGTGCAGGGTGGTCTGGGGAACGTGGAGAGGCTGGAACTGCGGGGCGGAGGGGCTGAAGATGGCGCGGGTGAGACGATTCCGACCTCTCCACAGCCCCTGACTTCCTTCCCCAGGCGCTGTCCTCCCTGGAATCGGTCATCACATCCTTTCCGTTCTTCTACCGTCCCAAGGGCCTGAGACTGGGGGACGCCTGGCACTTCCACCCGCCCGAACGCTACTACAAGCGAGTAGCTCGCGAGGTGGGCGCGGTCGTGAGGGGCTGGGGATGTGGAAGAGCCGGGCCTGGAAGGGGCGCGGGGACAGGGCACTCGCTGGCTGTCCTAGACATGGCCTTCGCCCCTCCCTGTGCCGCAGACCAACGCGTGGCGGCTGAGCGAGGTGAACGAGGACTTCAGCTTGTGCCCCAGTTACCCCCGCGCGGTGATCGTGCCTCGCGCGGTGGACGACGATGCCCTGTCGCGCAGCGCCCGCTTCCGCCAGGGAGGCCGCTTCCCAGTGCTCAGCTATCACCACGCTCCGAGCGGAACAGTGAGCCTCGACCCTCCCGACTCCGCCCCTGGCCCGGCTGGCGTCCTTCTTGGCCCTTTTCTGCCCTGGCCTGGCCAATTCGCAGCCTGACTGCTGACCCGGCTCCTGTTCTATTCTGGCCCCGCCCCCTCCCCTTAATCCCGCCTGCACCGGCTCTGGCTCCGCCCCTCTCCCTCGTTTCGGGGGTCTCACCTTTCTCTGGCCCCGCCCTCGGCTGTTCTGGGCCCCTTGAGCCTTAGTCTCTTCTTTGTCAACCCAGGATCTGCTCACGGTCTACTGATAGGGTCCTTCCCCCGCTCTGGCCACAAGCCACCCAGACCAGGTGCGAAACCTGGCGTATTCCGCCCCTAAGGCCCCTGCGCTCCAGCCAGCCTCTGCCAGCTCTAGCCCGGCTCCTGTGTGCAGATGCGGCTTAGAGAATCCCTGAGGCTGGGTGGGTACAGCTTCTGGATCTGAGTCCCTGTACACAGGTTCTGCTACGCGCCAGCCAGCCCCTGAGCGGTCCCCAGAAGCGGCGCTGCGTTGAGGACGAGGAGCTGCTCCGAGCTGTCCTGGCAGGGGCTCGCCCTGGGGCCCGGGGCATCATAGTGGACACGCGCTCGTCCCACGCTGCTAAACAGGCCCGCATGACTGGCGGTGGCACTGAGGCCAAGGCCGTCTACCCCGGCTGGAAACGGCTGCACCGACCCCTGGAGAGGTAAGGGGCCTCCAGTCTTCTCCCAGGCTCCCTTGTGCAGGACTCTTTGGATGTGTGGGGGTAGGGGTGGGGATGTCTTCCAGGAAACTTGACCACTGTTAGGTCTTTCCTGGTGGCCATCCTGCCAGGTGGGCATCCCCACTTGCACACCTCCACTGAGAGAGCTCATTACTCTCTGGGCACCCCAACTCTGCCTAGAAAGAAAAAGCACCTCTTTACATTAAACTGCAATTTGCCTTCCTGGAACAACCTTCCTACACATGCACACACCTCTGTGAGGGCTGTTTCTGCACAGATGCATCTGTTCCCTCTGTCTGCAGGTGATGATAGTGCCAAGAAGAGGTCCGGAAGGAGGTTTTGTGCTTAGACTTGTTCCCTATCCAAAATACAAAACTCTCTAGGCCGGCCCGTGGCTCACTCGGGAGAGTGTGGTGCTGATAACACCAAGGCCACGGGTTCGGATCCTATATAGGGATGGCCGGTTTGCTCACTGGCTGAGCGTGGTGCTGACAACACCAAGCCAAGGGTTGAGATCCCCTTACCGGTCATCTTTTTAAAACAAACAAACAAACAAACAAAAAATACAAAACTCTGTTTATTCATTTATTCACCGTGCATTGAGCATAGGGGCTGCCATGGTGGCCAGCCGAGATAGAGAGCAGTAGTGAATGGGCAATTAGAATTCAGTGAGGTAAGCAGCAGCACAAAGGAGGCACCCCTCTTAGTAAGGTGACTTCAGGTAATCCAAAGGTTTCTCTGAAACCTTTAGCTTAGATTTGGATGCTTTAGCTGAGACCTGAAAGAGGAGGAGGAGTTAGCCAGAAGAGGGAGAAGGACACTCCAGGTGGTGGGAACTGCAGGTGTACAGGTACAGAGAGCCTGGTCATTTGTCCTGTTTGGGAGACAGCATCTACTTCAGTATGGTGGGAGTGGAGTATGAAGTGGGAGTACAGATAGACAAAGCCAAGGCAAAGGTCTTCGGTGCCATAGTTATGAGCTTATCCTAAAGGCACTGGGGACCCATTGAAGGCTTTAAACAGGACTGAAAATTCTCCCATTAGATTTTTTGGCAGGTTACTGGTGACCTTGAGCAGAGCAGTTTCTGGGAAGTAGGATCAGATGCAGAATCCCAAGAGTATTGTGTTTCTTTTGTCAGACTGGGGCTCCCCAGGGAGTACTTTGTTGCCCACACCAAATTAGTGTACTTCAAGGAATATTGTGACACTTCCATCAAATTGGGGGTTTCCCAGGGCATTCTGTGTTTCTCCAGAAGGCCATGTGCTCCCCCCTCAAAAGACTCGGTCTCCCCAAAGGGTCTTGGGTCTCCCCCATCAGACTGGGTAATTCTCAAGGGTACTAAATCATTTCCATCAGATTAAGAGCTCTTCAGTGGGTTCTATGCTCCATGAGAGTAGGCTCCCTAACAGGTCCTGTGGCCCTCTTATCAGATGGGCTCCTCAGAGGGTTCTATCTCTCCTTCATTGATCTGGAGCAGTTACTCCCAGCCTGTGCTCCCCAAGAGCCTGGGCTGGGAGAAAGATGACCAGACTCCCACTTGCCCAGGGGGCGGCCCCTACAGGAGAGCTTTGTGTGTCTGGTGGAGGCATGTGGGGACAAGGAACAGAGCATGGACCGCTGGCTTAGTCGGCTACAGGGCTGCCGTTGGCTGGCACATGTGAAGGAGGCACTCAGCACTGCCTGCCTGGCAGCCCAGGGCATGGAGAGGTAAGGCCCCTACCCTGTGAGAGAGAATGGGATGGGATGGGTAGGGATCTTAATCCCTGGGCACAAAACCATGACTCAGTAAACAAATACAGCTTAGAAGTGGGTCCATTCTATTTTTGGCATGACCACCCTGGCCAGGGAAGGACTTGGCCACTGTTGATGAGCCCTGGGCCCACAGGGAAGGGGCCTGCATCCTGGTGCATGGGGCTGAAGGCATGGACAGCACCCTGCTGGTGACTTCACTGGCCCAACTTATCCTGGACCCCTTGAGCCGGACCATGACTGGATTCCAGGAACTGGTGGAGCGGGAGTGGATTCAGGTAAGGAGCCACCCAGCCCCAGATCTACCCCTCCATCCAGAAACCCTGCTTCTTTGTGCCCATCACTCTGCCCCCTCCCCAGGCCGGCCACCCCTTCCAGCTGCGCTGTGCCCACTCAGCCTTCTCCCACGCCCGCCCCAAGCACGAGGCACCCACCTTTCTCCTCTTCCTGGACTGCGTGTGGCAGCTGGGCCGCCAGTTCCCGCTGTCACTGGAGTTTGGGGAAGGGCTGTTGTTGGCGCTGTTTGAGCACGCCTATGCCTCCCCTTTTGGCACCTTCCTCTGCAACAGCGAAAAGGAGAGGTGAGCTAAGGGAGTGTTAATATGGGTCAGATACCTGTTGCATCAGCACCTTACTTCATTAGATGCCATCTTTCCCTTCCAAATGAGTTTCTCTTTTAGGAAAACTGAGTATCCTCCCCTCCTCTACCTTGAAATCTCATACTTCCCCCTAACTTCTGCAAACCCAGAGATAGATGGGTCCAAGGCCAATCCTTCAGGCCTACCCACTCTGTCCATAGCCAAGAGCAAGTGCACCCCTACCTTGAAAACAAGGGCTGAAGGGGAAAATTGCTGCAAAAATAAATTATTTCTGGGGCTCTCTACCACTTTGCTTGGTTGATTCTCATGAAGCAGTAGAATGGAGGTTGAAAGCAGAGTCAATTATTTTCAAATTGCAGCTCCACTCACCTGCTCAGTAAGCAAGCCTCTCTGAGTCAGTTTCCTCATCAGTAGCATGGAGAAGATAATAGTAGTCATAATCTCTAGTAGGGTAGTGAGGATTAACTGAGTTAAAGCATGGGAAGTGTTTAGCACAGTGCCTGGCACATGATAGGCACACAAAAAGTGGTAATTGCTTTTCTTATTTGGTTGTCATCTTCGTTTACCTGCCTCTCTCCCATCCTTCATCTTTAGCTTTTCTCCTAAAAATTTCTTAGCTTGGTCCTCTCCTACTGCTCTCATCCAGAGTTTCTTTCCATCTGGACCACTCAGCAGCTTCCTCACTGCTCTCCCAGTCTCCATTTTCATCAGCTATTTTTTTAAAAAAACTCATTGGTCCAGACCTCCAGACCTATCAACATACACACTGAGCTCCTTCCCACTTTCCTGCTTTTGCTCATGCAGTTCCCCCGAGTGTTTCCATGTCTTTGCACACCCAGTGAACGTCTACTGATAGACCCAGCTCAAATATCGCATTCTTAATTAACTTTCTCTGACACTTAGGCAAAGCTAAATTGGTTTCCCCTTCTAAAAGGAACTCCTTAAGAAGTAGCATTTTGTTAGGGGCTGGCCCGTGGCTCACTTGGGAGAGTGTGGTGCAGATAACACCAAGGCCACAGGTTCGGATCCTATATAGGGATGGCTGATTAGCTCACTTGGGAGAGCGTGGTGCTGACAACACCAAGCCAAGGGTTGAGATCCCCTTACCGGTCATCTTTATTAAAAGACAAAATAAAAAAGTAGCATTTTGTCATGTTCCTCTTTTACTCTAGTGTCTGGTACAAGATCTTACTGGCAATAACATTTGCAGGAAACAGGAGAGGTTGTCACTGCCTCAGAGTGGCTATTGCCCTGCTAACCATGGCGCCCACCCGGAGTCCCAAAGGACCTAGCTGGGATTGGAAACTCACTCCTCACTCTCCACAGATGCCTGTGTGAAGTGAGGACTCGAACGCACTCCCTGTGGTCTGGGCTCAACCAGCCAAAAGAGCAACGAAAACTCTGGAACCCACTCTATGTCCTCAATCCCTTGGCCATCTGGCCCTCTGTGGAGCCCCAGAGCCTGCGGCTGTGGCAAGGTGACTCCCCACCCTCCCCTCTCCCGAGGAGTTATCCCCTCTGCTCAGCTTCCTCATCTGTCTTCCTTCTCTTTTAGGCCTGTTTCTGCGCTGGACCCGCCCACCTGAGCCTGCAGAGGAAGCATGGGAGAAGGTGTGGCAAATAGTGACAGAAAGTCAGAAAACAGAAGGCTCTCAGCCAACAGTTTCAGCCTAAGCAACAATCCTAAGCACTGGCTCCTTGGACAGTGGCTGAGATTTTCCTGAAATCTCTCCTGGCCCTTCAGGACCTTTGGACCTTGGATGAGGGTGTCTGCAGCCCTGGCTAGCCCATAATACTGAAATTCTAAGTTTGAAGTGTCCAAAGTATAGGGAGAGCTAAATAATAAAGGTGTCCATGATTGACCTCAGCTTTCTGGGTTGTCAGTGAGAAGGGAAAATAATGAAACAGACTCCACAAAATATCTGGCCAGAGAACATTTATTACCAAACTAATTTGTTTCTCAGAGTCCCAAACTTTCTGTGAGCAGCACTCCTGGCCTGGATGGAGATCTAGCTTCTCAAGCTTCAAACTCAAATTCAAAGTACTGTGGGTCAAAGTAGTGAATGCGGACATAACCATCTTCGCCACCGCTACTGTAGCTGGAAAAAGATAGCCAGGGACAGTCAGACACCTGCTCAAGGAGAGGCAGGCCTGTGGGGCAAGGCATGAAAAAGGTGTAGAGACCCAGCCCAGGCTTAGCTCAACTCCCTTCATTGGGGCCCTACCTCTTGCCATCAGGATGGAAGGCAACACTGTTGATAGGTCCAAAGTGACCCTTGACTCGTCCAAACTCTTCTTCAAAGGCCAAATGAAAGAACCTGGAGGAGAGAGGGTGGAGAGAAGGGACACAATTAATTCACTCTCCATCTCCTTCCAAAACACTTCAGAGGGGGCCGGCCCGTGGCTCACTCGGGAGAGTGTGGTGCTGATAACACCAAGGCCACGGGTTCGGATCCTATATAGGGATGGCCGGTTGGCTCATTGGCTGAGCGTGGTGCTGACAACACCAAGCCAAGGGTTGAGATCCCCTTACCGGTCATCTTTATACAGGATTTAAAAACAAAACAAAACAAACAAAAAAAACCACCACTTTGGAGGTAGCACTCCCCAAATGCAAACTATATAACAAAAAATAAAGGGGAAATGAATGTGAGCAAAATAAGATGAAGTTAGGGGAAGAAGGGACCCAAGTGTCGGTCTGAATACATAGCTAACACTTACTGAATGCTTACTATGTCCTGGGCAGTGCTCTGAGAGCTTAACAAATATTAACTCATTCATTTAATCTGCAAGTTTCATGAGGTAAGTATATTTTCATTGTCCCATCATACAGTTGAGGAAACTTTTGCTCAGAGAAATACAATGACAAGTCCAAGGCCTCAGAGTTGGTGCTCTTAACTGCTATATTCTGTACTTGTCACAGGAGGGCTGCAAATTTGGTTGCACTTCCTAGCAGCCAATATGGTTTGTGTTCATTATGAAAGACTCACTCCATGGGGTTTCAGTTTGGAAGTGCTCCCTTCCCTTTTACCTGGCCTCAAACTTGCCAATCCTGGTGGAGGTTGTGGTTACATCCATGGCTTCCTGACCACCACCCAGCACCACCTGAAGGGAAAAAGAAAGTCTAGATGGGTCCAGAAGGGCAGCCAAGTCCATTTTCTGTTTTTTCCCCTGTCCTATAAGTTTCTACCATCTCCAACGTCACAATGGAAGGATACCAGAGCAGAGGATGGACAAACATTCCAGCCACCTCCTGCCTGGTTCCCTGGGGCTACCCAATTGTTCAGCCTTGTCACTGCTCTGGGTATCTCTTCTGCCTGACACTACTTCCCTCCAACATTTGTAGCCTAACTGCTAGACAAACATCAGGTCCTGGAAGCTTTCTGAGGCTTTAGCAGGAAGCCTGGGTAGGTTTCCCTTACGTGGTCATAGTTGGGAGAGAGGGCAGCTGAATTGACGGGACGTTCTGTCCGGAAAGTCTTCTGATGTTCGAGGGTTGTGGAATCAAAGAGCTGGAGAGAAAAGGCAGGGAGATCTGTGAAAAAAGCCTTTTTAGGAGAAGTCAGGCAGGTTAAGAGTGTGGAGCAGGAGTGGGAGCTGCCCTGCCAGACCCCTCGCCCAGGCTCACCTTAGCAGTGTTGTCCTTGGATGCGGTAACAAACATGGTCATGTCCCTGGATAACTGGATGTCATTGATCTGCCGGGAATGCTCCTTAACATTCACCAACACCTCTCCAGACTAAGGAAGGAGGAAGAGTGACACTCTGACTAGCCCCAAACCCTACTAGCCCCACTGTTCCCCAGAAGCCCAGGCAATGTTACCCAGAAATCTGAGGGAACTTCGACATTACCCTTTCCTCACCCCCTCTATCTAATCAGTCACCCCTAAGTATCTCTTGACCTGTCTAGTACTCCACATCCCCAGGCCTATTGGCTAGTTCAGGTCCATCTTGCACTGGAACTGTAGCCTGCAAAAACCTTCTAAGGAGAAAAATCTGATCATCAATAACCCTTTAAAGATTCCCTACTGCGGGCCGGCCCGGTGGCGCACTGCGCTAGTGCGCTGCTTAGGAAGTGCGGCGGCGCTCCCGCCGAGGGTTCGGATCCCACATACAGACCAGTTCCCGATCACTGGCTGGGCGAGGCGCGGGGGCAACACCGAGGGTTGCGATCCCGTTGCCAGTCCCGGTCCGGTACGGGGGCGACACTGAGG